AATGTATATATATAAAATAAATATATGAATAAAATTCTTAATATTGAGGTTAAAAAATGATGAAATGGTTTTTTTATGTTTTATGTTCATTATAATATGTAAAATAGTTTATATATAATATGTTTAAATCATATTTCTTTTCAGTTCAAAAATTAATCATCAATCATTAATTAGAAAAAGATATTAAAATAATAAATGATTTCTTTTACATAAAAGAATATATATGAATATATAAAGTAAAAGTTGTGAAAAGAAAAACGAATTTCGTTATTATTTCAAATTTTTTTGAAAACTCACATATACTCACTGTCATAATAGCCGGTATGACTAATGCTTTTGTTATTTTTGTAAGCTTTGATTCTTTTATTATTTCAATTAATTCGACTGTTCCATCGCCAGCACCTACAATTAATTTTTCCTTCTCTAAAAGCAATAAATTTTTTACACCTCCTGCATATATTTCTCCATTTTGTGAATTTGCTTTTCCTTTTTGCGTCGGTATCTTTGAATAACATCCAATCATTACCGGATATTTATTTACTTCTTTGGATTTTTCAATATTTAATCTATATGAAAAAAAGAAATTTTCAAATAATTTAATGAACAAAGATGGCAAAAAAAAAAAAATAAGGATTATCATCAACCTTGCTTTTATAATGTCGCCAGATGTTGTTCCACAATATACATATTCATCACTTTCATTTATAACTAGACAATTAATTTCACGTTTCATTTTTCCAATTTTTACATCCGTTCCATACATTTTTCTTTCTTCTAAATCGATACGCCATAATTTCAAAGTTTTATCTCCAGCAGTCATAAAACTTGTTTTGCAAACGTTAGCTCGTGCAATTATTGTAATATTTCCAAACGATTCGTTCCCAATGGAAGTACCTGTTAACAGTATGCAAATGCTATTATTAAGATTGAAAACTTTACAGAAGTAATAATAAGTATTAAGAAAAGAAGTTAAAATTATTTACTGCAAAGTGGAATTTCATTTTCAATATCCCATATTATGATGCGACCATCATCTCTTCCTCCAAGACTAATAAGATATTTCCCATTTTCTGTAAAACATACATCTTCGACTCTAACTTTGTGTATCTCATAGCTTAATTTCATTTTACGATTGATATAATCCCATATTATAACCATTGCCTATGAAAATAATTTAATTGTTTAAACTAATTTTGAACTTAATAAAAGTAATAATAGTAAATATAATAAATCACCTTGAAACCGTGATGATTTACTTGACCAGAAGCTATTAAATCGCCAGAAGATGAAATACATAAAGCAGAAACGAAATTTTTATGACCAGCAAAAAAGAATTGTTCACCCGTTTTTACATGTTTGACAGTAACTTTATTTCCCATTGGATACACAAGATGCTCTCCATCAGGATGTAATTGTAAACCATTTCTCATTATACCTAAAAATAAATTTATTCAAAATGATCATTTTACTGTTCATTGCAATTGAATAATATAAATGTTACATTATTAAATATGATTAAAGAAAATTTTAGGAAAGTAAAAATATATTCTCAGAACATATTCTTTTTTGATTACATGATAAATACATACTTTATACTTTGTATATGCGTATGCATGTGTTATATCAATTATAATTGTCAATTACAACTTTTTATTGAATAGTTTTAATGAATTCTGATTTTTGCGAAATGAGATACTAACCATCAAATGCTATTATTCCAAATACTTCAAGTTCTTTTATGTCCATAATGAAAAATATTATTATATTAACTAGATCAATCTTTTATGACAATCAACTAATAAACTTGTAAATATATGAACTCCTTCTAACAGCGTAACAATTACGTCGTCATGACAATCACAAACATGTAAATATTAAGCGTAAATATCAAGATAGCACGCAAAATAATCAATGAAAAAACTTAATATATAATATATATATTATACAAATATATTATTTGATATGAAAAAGAATAATTTGATTCATTAAAATTTATATTAATTATATTATTTATATATAATAATAACATTTTCAATTTTTTATGATTCTAATTGTTTATTGCTATAACATAATAATAAAATTCTTATTGTAACGAAAATAATGAAATTTGATAGTATCAAGATAGAATCAAAAAAATATTGATAGTATATATATATAGTATATAGTATATAATATATGTAATATTAGAATCACTATAATAAAATATGCGTTTTTTTTCAATGCTTTATCATATAATTACCATATCATTCATATTATTATTAATTTAATTTGAAAATTAATTAGTCTTAATAAAAATTTAAAATAAATTTCATAAATATATACAATTATATATAGACAAATAAATATAGAATATTATATAGAATATATAGATATAGATATAAAACATGAATCAAAATATCAAATTTTTTTATATTTTATTATATTTAATTTTTCCATAATTTATTTCTTTTTTTCTAATTTATATCTTTATAAATATAATAGTTTATTATGAAATTGAATTGATTGGTATAATAATTTTTTTTTAAATAAAATGAAAATTTTAAGAAATCTGTTATTCTCTTCATTTTTGTACTAATTTTTGTTTTCAAATTTTTAATTTAATTAATTCATTATTATCAAATAGTTAATTCGAAATACTTAATTATTATTATTTAAATAATAAATAAATGAATAAACATATCTATATTTTAAATGTAAAAGATTATTTTTATTGTACAAAAATTAGAAATAAAATTAGTAACTTTTAAATAAAATACTATTTAAAATTTAAAAAATATTATATTTTTGGAATTTTACTTAATAAATGGAAATTTACTTAATAAATTACAGATTTTTAACAAATTAGAAAAATTTACTTAATAAATTATATTATTTGAAACTCATTTGAAAATTATTGCTAGGACTTCGAACTATTACATTTTACTTTAATTTTTTTTTATATTTTATAATTTTTTTTTAGGTTCTTTATTAAATATTCTTAATTTATTTATATTTTTTAAAATGTTCATAATAATTTAATTTAATTTTAATAATTTAAAATAACATAAGAATTTCGATATATTTAATAATCATTAATAATTGATATAGTAATCGATATGATGTATTATTAAGATTATTCTTAGTTATTTTTGAGATAAATTTTTCGTGATATCTCCAAAATAATTAAAATTAGAAGAAAAATTTAGTAAAAAAATATTCTATATAAATTTATATAAATAATATTTATATATATATACTATATATATTAATCTATAAATATCCATAAAATTTAAATTCAATTAGAT